TGATGAATCACTTTACGAATTCTGGGAGCGCTTCAAAAAGCTCTGTGCTAGTTGTCCATACCATGGATATACGGAGCAAGACCTCATTCTTTATTTTTATATGATGGTCTTGCGGAGCATGATAGACGAATGGTTAATGCAGCATGTGGAGGGGGTATTGTCAACAAAACTCCCTCTCAAGCAAGAAACCTCATCTCGGAGTTGGTTGAGAATTCTAGGCATTACACCGGGCGGTCCTCAATCCGAAAAGTTGCCGCAGCGGAATCATATTCATCTTTGGAAAGTCAAATGGCCGGCTTGACTTCTTTGGTTAAGGATTTCCTTTTAAATCCTAGAAACCAAGAGGTCAAGGTCTGCGGCATATGCACACAGCAAGGGCATCCAACCGATTCTTGTCCAACTCTCCAAGAAGAACAAGTCAATGCTTTGGGTTTCCAAGATCAACAACAAAAGAGGTACGATCCACGCTCTAACTCCTACAATCTCGGGTGGAGAGATCACCCGAATTTGAGATATGGAAACCCTCAACCACAACAAAGTCAGCCCTTGCAACAATATTTCCCAGATCACCAAGGCCAAATTTCAAGCTCAAATATGTTCACCGAACACATGATCCGAGCACTCACCACAAATGTATCAACCATGCAACAAAACATGGTTCAATTTCAGCATTAGACCAAGTCTAGCATTCAAAACTTGGAAAGCCAAGTGAGTCAAATAGCTGGAGCCGTAAGCAGGCTTGAAGCAAAAGATTCCGGAAAGCTCCCTTCTCAAACAGAACAAAATCCAAGACAGCATGTTAATGCTATCATGTTGAGAAGCGGAAAAGAAGTGCAATAAAAAGAGGAGGATGAAGAGGAAGATATTCAAGAGGAAGAGCAACCGAAAGAGATGGACACAGAGAGTCCACCAGTGTCATCATACGAACCACAACCCCCTTTTCCCGAAGCATTAAGGGAGATAAGGCCGCTGACAAATGACAAAGACATGTACGAGACATTCGCCAAATGTGAGGTAAATATCCCCCTCCTCAACTCAATTAAAATTGTCCCTCGATTTGCAAAATTTTTAAAAGAATTATGCACAATCAAGAGGATCCCAAACTTAAAGGGAAAACAAAAAATTGAAATTAGTGAACATGTCTTGGTAGTTTTTCAAAAGAAACTTCCAAAAAAATGCACTGACCCAGGCATGTTCACTATACCATGCAAGCTGGGAGACACCACTTTTGGAGCCATGTTGGACTTAGGGGCATCAATTAACGTGATCCCCTATACTCTTTATAATTCCTTGAACCTTGGCCCTTTAAAGAAAACCGGTGTCATAATCCAACTAGCCGATGAATCAACTATTTCTCCAAAAGGGGTGGTGGAAGATGTACTTGTCTCGGTGAGCGATCTAGTGTTCCCTGCTGATTTTTATGTGATTGAAATGGAGAGTAATAGACATGAAGTCCCTATTTTATTAGGGAGACCATTCTTAAAAACTGCTAGTTCAAAAATCGATGTATCTAGCGGGCTTTTAACTATGGAATTTGATGGAAGAAAAATAGAATATAACATTTATAAAAAATCACTCTCCATTTAAAGAAAAAAATGAATCAATCTTGATCATTGAGGAAGCACTAGACAAGTCACCATTAAATAAACCCTCTGAAAATGAATCGAAACCGTCGTAAATTGAGGTGGTAACTAAAATGAAAATTTGGTCTAAATGGAAAAGACCGAAACAAAAAGATAAAAAAGGGCCGCACAAGGCCGTTGTTTTTGAATAAGGGGTTACTCATGATCCCACCTGAAAAAAAATGAATAACGTCGGGCCACGACGTTAACTATGGCGCTTCTTGGGAGGCAACCCAAGTTTTATTTTTCATTATTTCGAGTGTTTAAAGTTCACTTTTCATAATTGTTTGAGAGATCAGTGAGAGAGGGCACTAATCACATGTTTTGAGGGAAAGAAAATGCAGGTTTCCAACGATCTGGGGATACACCTGATCGGGTACCACATAGTACTCGGTCGGGTATGGCTAAAAAAGGGAAACAGAGTCATTACTCGATCGAATGAGCAAAATGAAAATCCGGTCTAATTGGGCTTTGATAAATGGTCCGTTAGAAATTAATTGGTTTTTTAGAGTGAAAAATCTTCTTTTATATTTGTTATGTTGCCAAATCTATTTTTTAGGAACTAATTATTTTGTGAATAGAGTTATCAAGCTAATTTTTGGGGTAAGAAAGTATCATCTAAGTGCATTTATAAAAAAAGTTGGGTCAATTAGTATTTTTAATTTGTTTTTACTTATTATGATAGTTTCTTTTTGAAGAGTCAACGAAAATTGCATAAATGAACAGAAAAAGTAAAACATTGAAAATGTAAAATCTATATTTTACTCAATTCATGTGCTCTTAGTGTATGAGTTCTTAAGGATAAAAACTCATATCGGTAACATCATTTGAGTTAGACTGCTGTCGACTTTCGAATTCCGAATTGGATTTTCTCACCCTTGGATGGGATATTTATAGATATTTGAAAATACTCACCCATTGTGTATCGCACGAGTGTTTACACATGTTTCGTTATCACGTGTTGATTTGTTGTTGAAAATAATGTTTTTTTCATGGTCAGCTGTACACGGTTATGTCAAAAGTAACCAACCGTTGAACATAAAAATGACATTGCAAACGTTAAGCAATGGAATAAAGTGAAACTGATAATGTTCTGTATAAAGAATTGGTTCATACGTTAAGTATGGAATGCAATTTGTTTTCAAATTACATTTTTATTGTGTGTTACTATTTTGTTGTACTATAAAAATTTGTGTCTACTTCATAATCATTGAAAAATTGTTTTGAATATATTTCATTTTATGTCGTACTTTAATATTGTATAATACTAAATGGTTCAATTAAAATTAGATGTTTTTTTGTAATTTGAGTAAAATTTCACAAGTGAAATTTCATCAATCGTGCATCGTACATGTGTTCTACTTATTTTTTGAAAAATAACTACTTTATCAAGTTAAGGTGACTAGATTGAATGTGTTGTGAAAGTAAATGTGCTTAAATGATACCATTACTTTCGTATATGAACCTAACTTACATGATTGAAATACTATAAGGACCTATTTGAACATTTTCCCACAAATATATATTCAAGTATAATTTAAGAATGACATAATGCCCTTTCACATATTCGTACACCCCTGATTTGCTTGTTTACACGATCAATTCGTATAAATGCATAATCACCCTATTACTTAAGATGTTTTTACTTAGACTTATTTCAGCCCCAGACTAATTAAACCAAATCAAACTTAAACATTTTCTCAAAAATTTAGATTTAAGTTCAATTAAGAATGACATAACATACTCTCCCATATTTGCACCCCCTATTTTGCCCATTTAGAGAGGCAATTCGTCTAAAAAATGCAACTCGTATAAATTTATGTTCACCATATTACTTGGTCATTATAAATAGTTTACATTCAATTAATATATATAACCTTTCAAATGGAAACATTCTTTGGAAAATTGATTTGCGCATCACAAGGTGGATTACTACCAAAGCATAATAATAGGAGAAATGAATTTGACATGGGTCAATGCAAGAGAGAAGATGTTAATCCTTAAACATTCATTAACACCTTTGGATGTTAGTATGTCATTCCACCTCTGGATGCGGCAATACCAAACATGGCTTATTATGTCATAATTATGTTGTAAATAAAAATCGAAAACAACATTGTTGCGCATTGGATTGGATTGTTGTTGAAAAGACCTGTTTTTAGTCATGGTCAACTTTATGTGGTTGAGTCAATGGTAACCAATCACCAAACGTAAAAAAATCACATCGCAAACGATGACAGTGGAACAAATAGTGAAACTGGGAATGTTGTGTATGAAAAATATTTTATAACATTAAGCATGAAATGCAATATATGTTTAAATTATCTTTATAGTGCGTGATACCTACTTTTGTGGGATTATAAAAATTTGTGTCATAATAATTGGTAAATCGTATTAAATATATTTCCTTTTGTATCAAGTTAGATTATTGTATAATGCAAACAATTCAATTGAAATTACAAGTTTATTATTGAATTTCAAATTTGATTAATACTTAGTATTGTTTACACCCATGAAGTTTCACCAAATGTGCATTCCACAGGTGTTCAATGCATTTCCTCTAATGTGAGACTCTTTCAATGGTACATGTGTTGTGTAGTTACGTACATATTTTTAGGAAAATATTCACCAGCCGTGCATCACACGGGTGTTCTACTAGTGTGTAAAATACTAAGATGAAAATTAACCGTATCAATATTTTCATTAATGTACAAGTTTTGGTTTGTAAACTTTGTTATGTCATTTCATGTGTTACACTAAAATGGGGAAGATTGTTGGAGATTTTAGTGTAATCGGCCATTTTGTGTAATTGAAAATGACTTGAGTGTCAAGGAGGATTAGAACTATGATCTATAATACAAGCTAATAGGTGTGAAGTGCACATATATAAGAGCAAGTTGTATCCCAAGGTGTCTACAATAATGGAACTCGAGTTAGAACTTTCAGTAGACTAACTCTGTGTCTAGATCCAGATCTACAACGGTTAAGGCAGATTCATGCAGTTTTCTAGAAATTGTCATTGTTATTACTAAACAGGTTTTAACTGCATAAAACGGTTCATATGAATAGATATCTCCATACTTTTGTACAGAGGATGTGGGACAAAACATCTTTATCACTTTGACATTCGAATTAAAAGAAAACGATTCATATATTCACTAATGTGTTTAAAAATTATTATAGATTGAATTTCTTGTAATACAAGCATAAGCGAGTACTCCTTCATCACGCATACCAAGAACCCCAACAATCGATTCATCTAAACATCTTAACTAATACTTTATATTTAAGTAAAACTTATAAACTTTTCTACTTTTATATAATACTTTTACCAAAAACATTATTTATATCATTTAATATTATAAATGTTTTCGAATATAAATTTATTATAGATCAAAGTTTGATATTATTTATAATAAAAAATGACTGACTAAAAGAAGAACAACAAGAATAAATAACATATATATTCTCAAAATGGTCCAAATATGTCTTGCGAAGAAAAAAAACTAACACGCAGCAATGCATATTGAGAGATAAACTGACGGCCGCGGGCGCCAGGTAGTTATCCGCAGAGCAGAAGAATTTCTTCGGCGGCTTGCCTGTATATTTCTTCCACCGGAAACTGAATTGCATATCCACTTGTCACCTATTATTATAATTAAATAAACGGCATTATCTCTATAGAAATCACAAATATACTACTTAGATAAGATATTGAATAAAAACTGTCATATTTCACATCCGATCGAGTATACAATCACCATCTTACATCAGTTCCAATTAAAAAAGAGAAAAATCACAGTTTTCATTTTCTTAATTTAAGAGAAAAATAAAGCTTTCACTTAACGAGCATTATTGTACTTTTAGTGAGCATCAAATTTATTTTATTGATTATTAGGAGTGTAATTACGATGAACATCACCATCTCCGCTTCATATCTTCTAATTCATTTTTTTTCTTTTATAAAAGTTATTATATTATACTCCGTATGTATAAATAATTCCTATTAATTTTAATATGCGAATTTAATGTGATATGATACTTTTGAAATATGCATTGATATGACATTTTACAAATGAACATAACATCAATACCAAATGAGCATATGTAACTTACAAAATGTGCATTAATATGAAAATTGTAAGGTTTGTTAGTTGAACGTCACGACATTTTCATTGAGCATCAAACCTCTTCTATTGAGATGAAAATCATGATTTCTGTCAAATGAGAATTCATGAACTTTTTACTAAGCATTATACTTATTCTATTGAGTATTAGGAGTATAATACTGAGCATCGTGATACTTTTGAATTATGAATTTATATGGCATTTAAAAATGAGAGTAATGTCAGTACCAAATGAGCATACATAACTTATAAAATGAGTAATGAAAATTTCGAAACGTCATTTGAAATCGCTAATGTGCTCAATTCCTCATTTTGTTTATGCTCATTTCGTTTAAGCTTTATGCTCATTTGGTATGTGAGAGCGATGCCACAAGGGCTGGATTGATCTGCCAGGTCAATATCACCGGTATCTAGTTTATACAGAGCATTAACGTTGTCATCTAAAATCTCTGCAGCACCGGAGATGGAAGAACATAGACAAACCAGAGAAACCTGAATTTTGATGGACCGGAGCACCGACGATTGAGCAACCTAGGTGAGTCTCGAACAAATCAGGTTGCAACAAGATGGAATATGCTCCTGGTAGGAATGCATTAATGAAAGAACTCTTCGCGTTGCGGATAGGGTGACGGACTGACGGTGAAGTTTGAATCGATGAAGGATGGTGAAGGTCGAGCAGAGATGTCAATGGCGAAGGGATTGACGTGCAATAGATATGAAATGGGAGAAGAAGCCTCAAAGTTGCTGGGAATTACTCTCTTCGTTCCTATTATAACTTACAACTTTTCTTTTTCGTCCGTCCCAATTAAAACTTCCACTTTCCCTTTTTGGTAAAGAATTTGTGGTTCACAATATTTCTTGCACATTTCTCTCTCCTCTGCACAACTCTCCACCACACAATACCCACTATCTTAAATTGTGTGCCAAACCTATTTGGAAGTTATAATAGGAACAGAGGTAGTACAAAAATACTAGATGTATGTGTACATCCGAGTGTACCTTATAATTTGTAGAATAAAAATGACACATACAGAGAAAACATAATGAATAAGATGTGATGATTTCTAATTGATCTCCTTTAGAATACGGGACATTGACGAAACCATACCGGATTAGTAAAAATTAAAAAAGTCAACACATGAGTGAATGTTTTATGGGTTAATTATCAAAATAGGACTAAAAGTCATTCACTTTACACAAATAAGACCAAAAAATAAACTATGTTTTCATAGGACTAATTATGTGTGTCTTGGATAAATATACCCTTATAGCTATTGAAATGTTTTAATTCATAATAAAATATAATAAAAATTCGTGAAAAATACTAAAAATTAATAAAAACATTTCGATAATAAAAATTTAATAATTTTTTCAATAAATAAAAAAAATTTAATTTTTTTTAAAAAAATTAAAAACTCAAAAAAAAAGAAAAAAACCGCCGCCGCCTCTGCCACCTCTGCACCACCACCTCCAGTCACCAGGGAAAAAAATGCCAAGTTCTTTAAGAATGTCATATTTATGGCAGAAAACAATGAAAATGTTGGCATTCGAAAAGAAAAAATATGCCACTTTTTTGGCATTTTCAGAAAAAATGACAGTTTTTAAGAAAAATGGCATTTTTTCCACCGTCCGGAGGTGGTGGTGCAGGGAGGTAGTACAGGCGGTGGCAAAGGCATGAATATTTTTTTAAATTTTTTTATGGAGTTTTACTATTTTTTATTAATTTTATTAATTCATAAATATTTTTTAAATTTTTAATTATTTTTCTACGAATTTTTGGATTTTTTTCGAATTTGTGATGAATTAAACATTTAATTATGGCTTTTGACTATTTTTAACTCATATTTAATGGAAGGGTAAGAATGAAATGCAAAAATAATTATATTTCAAATATGATTCATATGGTTAAATTTTGGAATAAAAAACATAGCAAGTCTTATTTTGAGTTTTTGCCATAGTTTTAGTCCTATTTGAAGTAATTTCTAATGTTTTATTCCAGTTTTATGACTATATATTATAAGCTCCTATTAAGTGTTTTTCAAATCTGTATCGTATGATACACTTTTCTTTTGAACTATCCAAAAAATATGGACACTTTCCACAATATAATTGAATTGCACGAATTTTAACTTTCTCACTTTATTCACTTCTTCTCTATCATTGATTCATTTCATCCTTCATTTTTAGGATTTGTCTTATTTTTTCTTACTTTTTGGAGGTGAGAATTATAAAACTAAAATTTTAACAAAACTTGCGCTAAACCCACATAAAAAACATGAGTATTTAACATACTTTTCACACATTTTTATTCACATGGTGAAGCTGAAATCACATTTTGAGCTCGTTTGGTAGCACGAAAATCGGCTGATTTGACTGATTCTGCTGAAATTTATAAAGTTCTGGCTGAAGTGACTGCATTGGCTGATTTTGCTGATTTAAGAAAAAATTATTTTTAAAATATATTTTATTAATAAAATAAAGAAAAAATTATATGTAAAAATAGCTAAAATGGTCATCTACAGTAACTTCAGTCAATACAGTCAGAAAAGTAACTTCAACCTTACTTTTTCTGCTTATTACACAATTCAGCGCACGAAAGTAAAAGTTACGTGTTTGATGAAAAAATTGGCTGATAAGTCAAAAAACAGTGTTGCCAAACCGTCTCTTTATGTAATTGATTTATTTCGGTCAATCGAGATAACTTTTTTAATGTCAGTCAATGACATTTTAATCGGCACTTTTCCGCTACTCAATAAGCTACTCCGTATCAAATTGCTCTTCAATATGACATTTAATTATTTAAGGTCAAGATGACATTATTGTTTGATAACAACAATTTAACTTGATTTCATAAGTCATAATGGTAGCATAATAAGGTCAATTTCTCTTACTTAAATGCTCTTAATTTATCAATAATTCAAAAAACGGTTTAGATATACGTAGTACAAAGCAATTTACCGCTCTTTAGTTTTTACTCCTTTTAGTCATTTTTTTTGAATTAACAAAAAAATCATTTTTTGTCCATTCTCTATGTATAATATTTATGACAAAACCCCAATAAATTAATTAAACAAATTCTTCGAAATAAACATATGATCATCATCATCATCATATTTCGCAAAGGCTTCCACCTACGGTGGGGTAAGAGATCGGATATACGCAATCTTATCTCTGTACAAATAAAGCACAAAGAAACTGTTTTCGAATGACCCACAATGAAAATCTCGAAATAAACATATGATCAATGAAGGCAAAATTAGACATACACACATAGAATGGGAGAACTACCAAATAAGCTCTCGAACTTTCATAAAAAGTGCAAATAAGCCCTTTTATAGGAGGCTCTGACCGGCTATCGCCATTTGTGGAGGTTTCCGGTAGAAGTTTTTATGACATTTTTTGACCATCTTCTTCATTAAATCTAGTTACTCACACCAAATTTCAGCTAAAAATTGAATCGGGAAGGTAGTAAAATGAATTTTTGAAGATAACTGCGCAGTTAGGCAACGCAATATATTTCAGAAAATCATTTGAGTGTCTTCTAGATTGAATTTTTAGCTGAAATTTGGTATGGGTAAACTAGACTTAATGAAGAAGTTCAAAAAATTTCATCAAAAAATTCCACCGGAAAACGCTCCAATTGGCGATAGCCGGACAAAGCCTTCTGTAAAAGGGCTTATTTGCACTTTTTATGAAAGTTCAAGTGCTTATTTGATTGTTCTCCCTACATAGAATTGAAGAGTAGAGCGGCGAATATATATTTGGATGGATAAATGGCTTACGCCGGCATGAATCATGAGCATGGTGCGAAGACGATGAGGAGAGGAGTCGTGAGCAGAGAGCACCTCTTTACTTTTTACTCCTTTTAGTCAATTTTGTTGAAATTAACAACAAAAATTATTTTTAGTCCATTCTCTATATATAATACGGAGTATTTATGACTAAACTACCCCTATAAACTAATTAAACAAATTCTTCGAAATAAATGATCAATGAAGGCAAAATCAAACACACACACATACATATATAGAATTGAAGAGTAGGGCAGCGTAAGCCTGTCAATAGGTCGGATCTAGGCCGGAACGTAGTGTTCCAAACACGGACCCACTAAATTAACAATGGACCCGAACCCGGCCCGTTTATCCCGCGGGTCTATATATTTGGATCTAGACCCGGACCCAACGGGTCTCAGAATCGGGTCAGGTAGACCCGCCAAAAATGATATCCATGCCATTATAAATTTTGTGAAAATAACAAGATCTATATATGGAATTTTATTACATCATTATATATATATATATATATATATATATATGATAATGATGTAATAAAATTAATAATAATAAGTATTTTGTTTTGCCTACCGAGCCCAATACACACTTTATCGGTATGTATCTATAGCCAAAATGGGTATTAATTTAGAATATCTCACTATCTCGATTAGTATCACTCACATATAGAGTAGGTATGTATTGGTGTGTATATTTTTAATTGTAGAATTATAACTAATAAGTTTATCTATTATTATGTACTAGTATATATATTTGTGTGTGTATATTAGTTTGTACTCCCTCCGTCCCATTTAAAGGTTCTCGTCCACTATTCACATGATCAATCTAAATCATTCTTAACCTTTTGCTTTATATATCAATCTTTTTATGAAATTTACATATTTTTATCAGCCTTTGTAGCGACTTTAATGTAGTTTCTGAATATGTAATTTTTGTTTTCTAAAAATAATCGGAGTGTGAACAGGGATCAAGTTGCTTTACCGTCAGTCAAGCATCGTAAACTGAACCGGGAACCTCTATATGGGATGGAGGGAGTATTTTTTATTTGAAGTGTTATAACTAATCAGTTTATGTATTAATGTGTATACAAATAAGAAATTTTAAACGGGCTGGGTCCCTGACGGATCGGAATCATATGTACCATACCTAATGTTCTAAAAGACGCTAGGCGCTAGTCGGACGTCAGCCCAACGCCTAGCGCCTAGGCGGCTAGGCGGGCGCCTAGTCGAGGACTAGTCGGAGAAATAGAAATTACTTCTTTATCTATATTTTTGAATAAATATGATAAGTAATTGTATTTTTGTGTGTATAAAATACATATATACATATATATTAACAAACGTGAAAGATAGAATTATCACATTTAATCATATATAGCATATGATAACTAATCACTTAACTTCATTATGTTATAAATATAAATAATGATAAAATTTAGGTATATATACAAATGTGTATAGTTTTATCTTAATTTACAACTTCATTTCTTTATATCCATGGCTAAAGTTAAAGTAAGTATATCCCTTGGAAAACTAAAATTAAAAAGTAAAGTAATGTTCAGAGAATCTAGACGACCTAGGCGGCCAATTAGGCGCTCTAGGCGGGTAACTATGCGCCATAGGCGGTCGACTAATTCACCTAAATGGCAAACCGATTAGTCGGAGCGGTTAGAAGAAAATCGGGGTGCCCGGCCACCGCCTAGCGCCTAGGCGGCCGGGGACTAGTCGGACGCCTAGAACGATTTTTAGAATAGAGACCATACCCGATCCGTTTATTAAAAACATTAACGGGTCCGGATTCAAGTCCAGGTAAACGGAATAAAATATAGACACGTACCCGTTAAAAACAAATAGATCTGGATTGGGTCCGGGTCTAGACCCACCCAACCCATTGAGAGGCCTAGGGCGGCGAATATGCATAGATAGATGGATAAATGGCTTACGCGGGCATGAATCATGAGCATGGTGCGAAGACGATGAGGAGAGGAGACGTGAGCAGAGAGCACCTCTATTTTGTACTTTTCCATCACATAGCAGATGGCGGAGAGCAGCCCTATCTTCCCCTCACAGCACACGCTGACGTGTGCGTCCTCTCCGCATACGCTCAGTGACACGTTCGCTGAGCTCCACCACCCTTCATAATTTACGCCTCCTCCTCCTCCCACATCATCAACATTATTAGCTGTCGCCAAATAAGGCTGGACGGTGATGACGTTCTGGTCACCATGATAATGATGCTTATTCGATCCCGGGGCGGGAACGAAGCCGCGGCCGTGGTCGGAGTGATCACGGCCCGCCGCAGCTTGCGGGATTTCGGAGGAGAATATGCAGGACAGATCGCCGTCGTTGGGTCTGGCGGCAGAAGATAGAAGCAGCTGGCGTTCCTGCTTTAGTTTCTCCAGGTTGTGAATGGCTGTTTGAAGGGCCATGATCTGCTTCGCAGCTTCATCCACTATAGTCGCCTTGTCTACCTGCAGTATGCATTTTAACATCCAATCAAGTCAAATTTAAACATTAGACATAGTTCGAGTGCTCGAAAATTACTATAGAAGCGGTTTTTAGAAGTTCGAGGAGAAAATAAAGTGTGTTAAAACTTGATTTTTATTCTCTTTCTGCTTTAAAAAAAAAACAGAAACAAAATCAATTTCAAACCAAAATATCTTTAATAATGCTAATGAATGAAAAAAGAGAAAGGAAAATTCTATTAGTCCACAAAACGTGTATACATTTGGCACTCTCACTTTTATACATAGACATCTCGTTTAGAAAAAAGTGGCAATTATCCGCAGGGCCGATCCCGATGAAATGAAGGCTCTGTGCTACAAAAATAATTGGGCCTTCTTTTCAAAGTTTCAACACAAGTTAAAAAAATCGAACCGAAACCGCACCGACTCAGACGGGACCTGAAAGTCGAGACTTGAACATAAATCAGTTTAATGAAGGTTTTTTGAGTTATAAAATCGGTTCAAACCAAACCGAACTCAGTTTTATTAAGAGGTATGTTTAATTATTTATTTTGTAGAACAAATAGGTAATATAAAGCTTGTACGTCCTTATTTCAACAATTAGTTGATTCAGTCCAGTGGTTGATGTTTAGAAATCAGCGTGCATGCTTTTATTTTCACCTGGGTTCGTATCCCGCATGCCTCGTTTCTTTTCTTTTTTGTTTCAAAAGCTTAAGACTCCCACACCGGTGGAAACGGAGGATTTACTACTCCTTCGTTCCTATATATACGCTCCTCCTTTTTAGATGAGGAATACGCGAAGTAGCGAACCGGGCTTGCTTCAAAGCCTTGCCCTAGTCTAATTTTTTTGTAATTCATTTGGTTTTATATCAAAACCGAACCGAAACCACCTCTAAGTAATACTAGTATACTTCTCCAAAAAAAATAGGCCTTTCCAATTTTTTGGGCCCTGTGCGATTGGACACCCTGCACACCGCCAGGGCCGGACCTGATTATCCGTGTACAAAAGCTGGTGTACAATGTACGCAAAATGTGTACGCTCCTAATTGTGTGTACACAGACAACAATTGTCTGTGTATACCGGGAGATTGTGCCATGTGTGTATGTTGATCTTATTTGTACGTGGAAGTTAAATGGTTGAAATTCTAATATTGAATTGTTAATGAGTCAAAAAAAGTAGTGCATTTGATTGGATAATCATGAGACGAATCTGACTCGATTGAGGTTTTACCCAGCCCCCGTCATTAATTGAATATAAGAATTATAGCATCTCTAATACGTAGTAATTAAGAGAAAGTGATGTTTTCTCATGTAGCTTTCACCATGAGATCGGTAGTTATATGGTCGGGGTAGAATTTATCAATTCATAGTAATGATATTTTTTAAAGATTTCAGTGATCTCATTGTCAAGTTCAAAGTTTACTACTAACAAAGTTTACTACTAATTTATGTGGGTTAACATGTTTTCTTCTTTGATATTTTGACATATATGATACAAAATAAATTAAATTAGTTCCGAGTACCTGATTTTATTATTCTATTGAACTTTTTTGATAAAATGATTATTTATTGTTACACAAGTTCTAATAATCATTATTATTTTATGAATATGTATCCTTCATTAATACTACGGAGTATGTTTTTGAAACCGTTGTTTATTTATATTTTTTAAGATGAAAAATGTCATGGGATAATTCTATTATATGCACATAGACATACATTGTTATATGACGCCAAAGACAGCACAATGCATGTTTTAACTGATATTAAATGAAACATTACTTATATTAAATTTATAAATTACAAAATATTAGAAATAATTTAATCACGCCTAAGAAATACAAATGAACTTCGAGAATTAGTTTACAAATGGAAGTAAATTGTTAGTGATATGAATATATGTGTCACTATTTCTGAACAGAAATTCTTTAACAAAAACATGAACATCTAACTTAATATTGTAGAAATTGTATAAGTAGTACTCCCTCCGTCCCTAAATTTACTTCCAACTTTTCCTTTTCGTTCGTCCCAAAAAGAACTTCACTTTCCCTTTTTGACAAAGAATTTGTGTTTCACAACATTTCTCTCTTCTGCACAACTCTCCACCACACGATTCCCACTTTTTTAATCATCGTGCCACTTTAATTTGGAAGAACATTTAGGGACGGAGGGAGTATGATAGTATTTTATTATTGGTGAAATAAGATTTTTCACTTGGACTCGTTTGGTCTCATATTAGAACATATATACTTCCTTCGTCCCTTATTTAAGTTTTTGGTTTGACTTCACACATATTATGAAAATAAATTTACCGAGGATAAACTTTACTGCAGAGTATACTGTTGTGACACTGTTTCGACTATTTGGCATTGTTTTGAGATTGTGTTGCACTATTTTGGTATAAATTTGTTTGACAAATAAGGAAGTGTGAACTTGTTTGAGATATCGAAAAAAAAGGAAAGTGAGAACTTAAATAGGGGACGGAGGGAGTATACTAGATTAGATTTAATCAAATTAGACACTTATCTTATCAGATCAAACATAAAAGGACATGGTGAAATGAGAAAAGTGTAATAGAAAAAGAGAGAAAAAAACGTTATTCTTATATCCTCATCATAAGATCTTGTAATTAACTTGTAAGGGTAATACCATTGAAAAATCTATTGGTACACACCATTGGTACACACTCTTACACACACATGTTTGTGAAGACTTTTTTTATGTCTGTCCCAGAAAAAACGTATTTGTTAAATACGTTTTGTCTCGGACAGACATAAAAACACGCCTCAAGTGTGTAAGAGTGTGTAAGAGTGTGTACACAAAGTCTGATTCAATGCCATTCAAAAAACTTGCAAGGGGAATAAATACTAGAAATGGAAATGATTATCAAAATTCTCCTTAAACGAACTATACATAGAATGACTCAATGATTACCGAGTTAACCCATTTTCTATTCTTGATGGTCCTAAATTTCTTTTTCACATTTTGTTTTAAATGAGTGTGTTTTTCTCTACTTATGTAAATACATTTGAATCTTACAATTCTATTTTTAATTTCTACTAACATGTCAGTCAAAGTGAGAGTAAAATCTTAGAATGAGCAGATCCAGTATATCTAAAATAGATTATTGCAACCATCAAATTAATTAGATTTTAACATAGATTTCCATTGACTCTAATCACCTTAAGAGGAAGTTGAGGGAGTAAGGCATGAAGATGAGTAAACATGTTCCTCATCCTTTTCCTCCTCTCTCTTTCGGTCCAAATATGCCCATCATGATCCGCCGCCACCTCACGGCGGCCTTCTTTAACTTCAGTCACCGGAGGAGATGCCGCCCTCCTCTTACCAAGTGCCGGAGACACCTCGGACGGCGCCGGAGATAACTCACTTTTGATGGCATTGGGCCCACCGGGTTCTTTCCCGTGCCCAGATGAATTTGCATCCCCGCCGGATGAGACGCCGGCTGGCCGGATAAATTCCCTAACAAAAGAATCTTGAAAACCAGTTTGATCCATCTCCGGCAACCCCCCGATCGGATGCTTATTACTTAGTTAGAGATCTTGAAGAGAGAAAGATTTAAGAGCGACTCGATCTATACCCTTCCTTAATTACAGTAGTAGTAGAAATGAAAAAATAAAGGCTTAACCGGAAGTAGTATATAGTGGAGGATGATTGGGTGGTTATATATACAAGTACATACGAGTACAATGACATCTAATGTAGTGTGAAGTTGACAAGTGTTCTTTTTTGGGTCTTTTATGTTCAAGGGAACTGTTTGGGGTACGATATAAAATGTTTTTTATAATCCGTATATAAAATGAGAGTGAAAAATATACGGCCTTTTGAGCGAGTGCTTGCAAAAATATAAAATAAAAAAATTATTTTTTAGCTTTTGGCTTTAAAAAGGTTAGAATGAGTGTTCTCAAGTCACGGTTCCAGTTTAAATTAAACATTTAAAAGCTAAAAATGGGAAGTAGGTTGATGGGAACTTTAAAGTACTTTTAACGTTTTTCTAATATACTTCATCCGTCCCTAAAAATAATTCCAACTTACCTTTTTCATCCGTCCCAAAAAGAATTTTACTTTATCTTTTTAACAAAGAATTTGTAGCTCACAACAATTCTTACACATTTCTCTCTCCTATGCACAACTCTCAACCACACATTTTTTAAGCTCGCAAAGACAAATATAAGAGTCATCAACCCTAAACCAACCATTCCAGTTCACTGGGTGGAAGGTTACCGTGTCCTAGCGGAGGTCTCGGGTTCGAATCCCGCTAGGCACATTTAGAGAAGAGGAGGGAGGTCTTGCTCCCGATGATTCTTCTTACCTTCACGGAGTTGCTCAGCGGCTGAGAAGGGAGATGATGGTAATGAAGCTAGCGGGTTCGTGTGGTGGGAGGAGCAGCCTGAAAGGTGATGTAAGTCCTGGATTCGTCCTTTGGAGCCACTACTGACGAGGCTGACTGTGATCAGATCCGGACTTAACTGTCTAGGGGCTTTGGAGGGTTAGTTCATAGACTCCAGGATTATGGGAGCGTAAGCACCGACACCTGGATTATCAAAAAAAAGTCATCAACCCTAACATGTCTATATCTTCACTTCTCTCCCAAAAATCAACTCTCTCACACACACCAAGGGGCGGAACAGTAAAACATTGAAAAGTTCGAGCATGTAAAACATTAAAATAAATTCGGCTCAATATATTGTGCTTCTGATAATATTAATACTCTGTATTAATATTAGTTATATTTCAAATTTTAAAAATGACACTTTATTCACTAATCACCAAGTAGATGTCAAATTTATAATACGGGAGTGTATTACACACACATATACTCCCTCCATCCCCCAATTTAGATATCAGTTTCACTTCACACGTATTAAGAAAATAAATTTGACTTTATTGTGGAATACACTGTTTTGCACTGTTCAAACATCGTTTGACACTATTTGGTACTATTTTGCACTGTTTGACACTGTTTTGATGTAGATAATTTGTCAAATAATGAAAGTAAATAAGTATGAACTTAATTTAGGGACTGCCCAAAAAAGAAAGTGGTATCTTAATTGGGGGACGGAGGGAGTATATAACTAATAAATGTAACTCTGATCTCTTGGTCTAATTTTGTCTCAAACAATACATGACTAAGTATTGATCTTGTATTTGTGGCTCTCTAACTACATATGACAGAATATATACTACGTATAAACTTACACACAATCCTCTGCTCCACTTCAAAATTATTATGCAAAACCTTGTTTACAAAGCTTGCCGAGGAAAAATTACATATTTAAAAATTACATTCAAAGTTCTATTGAATTACTAAAATTATACCGAAAATGATCACAAGTTCATTACAAATACACCATTGTGATGAAGTACTACGTAATAGAAAAGCATACTCCCTCCGTCCCCTTTTAAATGTTCCGGAAGAGGGTGACACGAGTTTTAAGAAAATTAGGTTTGTGTGGTTGATATTAATAGATAAAGTAAGAATAAAGTAAGAATGATTTTGAACCACACAAACTTTACCAAATAAGGTATGTGACAATTAAATAGGGACATCCCAATATGATAAAATGAGACATTTAAAAGGGGACGGAGGGAGTATTAATTAAAATCTCATACGTGAATAGGGATGTGAACCCTAGCGCCAAAAAACAGAAGAGCCGTCCTCCAGATTGACCGATTGTGGAAAAGGAGGAAGGTTTTCATTTGGCATTGGACTTGCTTTTCTCAGACGGCTAGATTCTTCTTCCATCCTCTTGCTTCTAATCCAAAGTATTTGACAGTGACAAACTCTTAAAGATTCTTGGTAGATGTATGATTTAATTGGATTGTTCTTCTCTTCTGGTTGTGTTGATTTTGTTCTATGGCGATTCTTTACCAGGCACTTGTACTCTAGGGTGGTTTGTGCGGAGTTCTTTTGGTGTCTCGACTAACTTCGTAAGGTTAAAGATTTATGCCTGCCTTCTTGGTAGAGCTTGTCCTCCTCCAGAACCACCTCAGTGCCAGGACAAGTTTTGTGGGAAGACTATATTTCAATTTTATTTTTTCATTAGTAGTACTTGTTTTTATTTTAGTTTGAGTAGGTTTGGTTTGGAAATTTGGTCTTCTAAAATATGTTTAATAGCCTATATTTCAGTTCCGACTGTTTTAGGCTTTAAATTGTCTTTTTCGTGTCTAGCGAATCAAATTGCTTTTTATGAGGTGAATGATTCTATGGTTATTCTCAGAACTCACAATCGGATCTGTTATAATTGTCTGGATGTTACCTTGTATCTCAATTTTATTATAAAAGCCGATCCTTTATATTCAAAAAAAAATACACCATTGTTGAAAGTTATTTTATATGTATTTTAAATGATTTTACTTTGACTTGTGTTCTAACATACGGTATGTATCTCAAATTGAATTCTTTCATTTTATTTGAACAGTGTAATTTTTTTGGGAAGTAACAGTGTAATATTAAAAAGGCATTAAATAAAAATTTTGACCACATCAGACTAGTAGGCTAGAATTAATTAAACTAGTCTAATTTAGCTCAAATAACATTTCAGTTTAAGTAAAAATATTTGTATTAACAATCAAGTTTTAATTAATTTAACATTTTAATTTTTATTAGTACAAAGTGTAATTATTTTTTGAAAGAAAGTGCAATTAATTACTCAAAGCACCTCACAGTTCTTACCCAAGTCGGACCATATAAAAAGTATACCATATTTCTATACAAAATATGTATATACGAGTATGAGATAAATTCCCCAAATAGGAGTATATTTTGAAGCTTGGACAATAATATGAGATATACTCTCTCCGTCCCGAAATAAATGTCCTGCTTTCTAAAATGGATGTCCCAAAATAATTGTCCTACTTTGAAACTTTCTTTATTTGGTAAACAAATCTATACAAAACAGTGTCAAACAGTGTTGGTACAGGGCCAAACAGTGTAGCTACAGTGTGAAGTCAACTTCATTTTCTTAATCTGTGTGAAGGTCAAAGTAGGACAATTATTTAGGGATGGAAGGAGTAATTTTTATATCTATAATTATACTTATAATTATTATTACTCTGTATAATGATGATGATGATGAAAATGATGATAATTAAAATGACGATGATTATGATTATGATAATGATAATGATAATGATAATGATAATGATAATGATAATGATAATGATAATGATAATGATAATGATAATGATAATGATAATGATAATGATAATGATAATGATAATGATAATGATAATGATAATGATAATGATAATGATAACGATAACGATAATGATGATGATGATGATGATGACGATGACGATGATGATGATGACAATTATGATGACAATATTGGTAATGACAATGATAGTGATGATGATAGTGATGATCATAATAATCAACATAATAATTATCATAATAATCATAATAATAATAATAATAATAATAATAATAACAATAATAATAATAATAACAATAACAATAATAATAGTAATAATAATAATAATAACAATAATAATAACAACAACAATGATGATGATGATGATGATGGTGGTGGTGGTGGTGGTGATAATGATAATGATGATAATGATAACAACAACAACAACATTAACAACAACAATAATAATAATAATAACAATAATAATACTCATCATCTTAATAATCATAATCATAAATAATCATAATAATAACGATGATAATAATAATAATTAAGAAGAATAATAATATTGTTAATAATAATATAATAAGAAATATTATTAAAATTATTATAATAATTAAAGTGACCAATAATGTTTGAACTTTTCTCAACTGATTTGATTTGAATGGTTCTGATTTGATTTGAATCTTTCTTATCCGATATGATCTGAGTGCTTCTGATCTGATCTGATTTGATCTGAATTTTTCTGAACATATCTGATATGATCTGAATTTTTCTGATCTGATCTAATTTGAATAAATAAGAATAAACACTGATTAATACTCTAAGAAGGAACCACTAAAACCAAAATTGATGAAACGCCATTACAAAGGCCATCATCACAGACCAAAAATGCCGTTACATATGAGAACCGCAAGAGAACTGAAGAGCTGGTGCTATAAATAATTATTCTGTATTTCATCACACACAAAAAGAACGGGTCCCACCTCCAACCTCATGGCCCCACTTCCACCTAAGATCTTTGTTTTTTGCTTCATAACCTTACAAAGTACACATAATTAGCCCATCTAAAAAGGGAAATCATCTCCTTCCAACCCGGACACACTTTAAATTTGATTTGATTATAATGCAAGTGAATGGATTTCTTGTGTGTTCTAGTGAAAATATACATAACAGGTTCGTTAAAGTAAATAATTTGTCCAACAGAGTTGCTCACGGATTAGCTAGAGCGCACTAGTAGAAAAACGGTGATCGGAGGCGCTTCTGGACAGGCACGTGTGGTGCTTCGAAGTGCCTCCAATTTTTCCGCCGCAAACGTTTGATTGGAGGCGCTTTTTAGTCAGAAGCGCCTCGAAATTTTTTAAATTTAATTTTTTATTTCGACATTTCGTGGCGTTTTTCTTACTAGAAGCGCCGCACGCACGGTAACTTAAGCAATATTTGCGGCGCTTTATATGTTAAAAGCGCCTCTAAAATTTTCGGAAATTATACAT